TAAATATCATGTTACAAAACTACAAATCTAACTTCTAACTAACAAAGGACTGGTAGATAGCTGTCGCTGAGTTCGTATATAAAAACCGATTCAAATTACATGCACCACACCCTTGTTAGCTAGTGTGAAAGTTCGAATTATAATAAAATTAGGTTTATAGGACACCCATAATCTCTACATGTCCCAATGGACCGCTTTATAGTATTTAATTTATATGACCAAAATATAAAGCGTCCTATTTAAATGCGTTGTAATAAGTTTATATGACATTTTTGAGCGTCTTAACAAGATTTTAAGGATATTTTTAATACAAAGTGTCGCATTAGCAACTTTTATATAACACTTTTGAGAAATTGTCCTATAAACTCAATTTTTTATAGGACACTTGTTTTTATAGGACATTTTTTTAAATAGTGTCCTATAAAGATGATAATGGGACGTTTTATATTACAAATATCCTAAAAAACTTATTACGACATAAAAAACATCATATAGACTTAATACAACACCATTAGATAGGACACTTTATTTTTTTGGTCCTATAAACTAAGTCCTATAAAGAGGTCTACTAGGACGCTTACAATTTGAGAGTGTCGTATAAACCCGATTTTGTTATAGTGTCGATCATAATCAATTATCAAGAATGAAACAATTCAATATCAGCGTTTCTTATGGATTCTAGATTTTCATCACACTGAAGACAAATCATGTCTCCCTCGTTTGTTCCAACCAAGACATTCAGATTGAATTCTGTAACCATCAAGACTAAAAGATGAGCCATCAAGACTACCGATGGCGGTCCAATTCGGGAATTGGGGGCGGGGACGGGGACGGGGGCGAGGGAAGCGTTCAAAACTTATATATGTATATATTATACTTTTACTTTAACATTCAGTTTTAATAAAATCACTGAAATGAAATTAATGCTCGCACTACAACAAAATTGGGTTTATAGGACACCCTCAATTTCTAAGCGTCCCAATAAACCGCTTTACAGGACTTAATTTACAGGATCAAAATATAAAGCATCCTATTTAAAGGTGTTATAATAATTTATATGACACTTTTATGCGTCTTAAGAAGTTTTTTAAGACATTTTTAATTAAAAACGTCGCATTAGCAACTTTATATGACACTTTTGAGAAAGTGTCCTATAAACTCAATTTTTTATAAGACACTTGTTTTTATAGGACAACTTTTCAAATAGTGTCCTATAAAGTTGTTAATGAGACGCTTTATATTAAAAGTGTCCTAAAAAACTTATTACGACTTAAAGAATGTCATATAAACCTATTACAACACCTTTTATTTTTTTGGCAACTAAGTCTTATAAAGAGGTCTATTAAAACGCTTAGCAATTAGGAGTGTTCTATAAACCCGATTTTGTTGTAGTGTCCTCTGAAATCAAATAAAAATATTGCAATACAACCATTATTAAAATATTATCATATCCCCTTTCATTTATTTTTCATATCGCTAGTCTTACAACTTATTAAATAAAATCCCAACTTGCAATTGGTTGGAATTAATAGGTGCCAAAGTTATTTCGTCATCAATATCCAAAGTTGGGTGTGGACCGTCGTTATAAATTCGAATTTAATATACACATATACGTGTATATATATACAACACACAAAATTAATGAATTGGAATGGTTAAATAAGTAAACGGTGTTACCAAAGGGTCTTTCACCTAGTGGTATCGTAGTCTTCGGCTTCTTAGGAGGTCAGAGGTTTAAACCTCACCAAAGATGAGAATAGTGTGTGTGAATTTATTTGTTGTATTTGTCGTATATAAATATTATATATTTCAAAAAATGTAAGGGGGTGTTTGCAGTGGCAGACCTAGGAATTTTTTTTTTAAGCGAGCGTACTTTTTAAGGTGGATTAAATACTGTAAACTCACGGGTTTGATCGGAGGGAAAGTTGACGTTGTTTAACCTGAGAGAAAGTCAATTATGTCGATTTCGAGAATAATACATTTTTTCAAATTGAATCAAGTGTGATCTTTTGAGCAAAACACACAACTATGTCTTACGTACAACGTGTTTTTAGCTGAATTTCATTGTGACGGGAAACGTTTTTAGTCGATTTCATAAAGTTTTCCAGTTTTTAGTATTTGATATTGTTAGACTGCTTTTTTCTAGGTTTAAAATTTCGTTTTCTTATACATATAGATTTTCTAGTACTAAAAGGATGTTCGCAAACCAAAATTAAATATGCATCTTGTACATGTCTCTTCCTTTCGCTAATCAAATCAATAATTAAAAGCAAATTACAGAGTACAACCTAAGAGTAAAACTTATATTTTGTGAAAATAATTAATAAGCTAAATTATTATAGAATATGAAATGGTCGAAATTATACTCCGACGTGAATATTCAAACAATTTCGAAAAAAAACCATGTTATTAAGTTGAAAGATTCATCAACCAACATATTAGGGTTAGGAACATGGTTTTGATTAGAGATTAGGGTTTCAGTTAGGGTTGGGAACAAGGTTTCTATTAGAGATTAGGGTTTCAATTAGGGTTTGAGAAGGAGATGCAGAGGTCGTTGGATCCTGTTTCTTGCTGAAGAACGAATGCAGATAAGGGAAGGAAGGATCTCGATTATTAGGGAAGGAGATGCAAGGTTTTAGTTGTGGGGAGGAGTAACGATGAGGGAAAGAGATGCAAAGAAGAGAGGGGGACCTGAGGAGCGACATCGTCAGGGAGCAAGAAGAGAGGTTGTCCACTACTAGAAAACCAGGTATCAGCGACGAATATCAGCGAGGGAAATTTTCCCTCGCAGATCAGCAAGGGATCAGCGAGGGAAATGCCAAAAAACTCATTCCCTCGCTGATCCCTCGCTGATCTGCGAGGGAAATTCAGCGAGGGATCAGCGAGGGAAATTCCAAAAAACTCATTCCCTCGCTGATCTGTGAGGGAAAATTTCCCTCGCTGATCCCTCGTATGAATTGGTTACTTTTGTTCACAGATTTGGTTTGTTATATATTATTATTTTCAGGTTTTTTAAAAATAAATACAAGATTTATGTCTTTTTAAAAAATTTATTTTTTAATTTTTTACAATTTTCCGACGGATTAGCGAGGGAAAATCCGTCGCTGAAAGTGCTTGAATTTCCCTCGCAAATCCGTCGCTGAAAGTTCCCTCGCAAATCCGTCGCTGAAAGTTCCCTCGCAAATCCGTCGCTGATCCGTCGCTAAAGTCTTCCCTCGTTGATCCGTCGCTGAAAGTATCCGTCGCAAATTCGTCGCTGATTTCCGTCGCTGATAGTATTACCTACGACTGTTTGACCGACGGAGTATCAGCGACGGATCAGCGACGGAAATCACTTTCAGCGACGGATCAGCGAAGGAATTTCCCTCGCTGATACTCTGCATTTTTGTAGTGGTCGGTCGTCGGGATAATGCTCATTAGGAAATAGAAGAACTTAGTTGCCGGTGAATAGAGGATAGAGAAGAGGGTCGCCGGTCACTAAAATTTTTGTTAACAACAATAAACCTTAACGTTTTGTTAACAACAATGAGCGTTCATATTCGTTAACAAAATGAACCGTCACATTTATATTGATAACAACAAGTTTTTACATTTTCGTATAACATACTTACACATTTTTTTTTACCGACAACAATGAATTTAATGTTTTTATCGAGTACTATAAACCTTTACATTGCTTTTACGGTAACTTTGTTAGTAACAACAAACCTTCACATTTTTAAGTTTGCTTTTAAAATTAATAAAATACATGTTTTTTTTGTATAAGTTGTTTAATTGCATCTGGTTTTATTAGAATTTCGAAAAAAAAATTCAAAAAAACCAACAAATTATCTCAGTTTGAATGATTAAGTCCCTGAACTACTTTTTTAATGAAAAAACCCATTAAACTTTCTCAGACCAATTTCCGGGTATCCGACTAATCTCTTATACAACGACGAACCATTTAGAGTTATTGCAAGGAAACCTCTATGGCTACAAGGGTTTTTTCAGCACCTGAATTCGAACCCAAAAGACATTTTTCCAACTATAATCCCTAAGTTTTAATCAATATCTCACAACCCAATTCGTTTCAGAACCAATACTTTGTCATCTTATATATTTATCAAATAAAAATAGAGATTAAAACAAGTAAGAGAAATTAGTTTAGATGACCATTTTCCTCATTTAAATTGGCCTTCTATCCATTTCTCTCCCGAGTTGAACCAAATGTCATTACATCAGCAACATATCAAATTGGCCACCTGACCCGTCGCAATTGCATGCGGATCTGTTCGTCAAAATTGCATATCTGACCGTCGAATTACATATTTGTGTTGATTTTTTGGTCTTTAGTTAGGTCCACAATATTACAAATCTAAATATTACAGAAGCAATGACACACTACAACAAAATCGGGTTAATAGGACACTCCCAAATTTTAAGTGTCTTAATAGACCTCTTTATAGGACTTAGTTTATAGGATCAAAAAAATAAATTGTCCTATCTAAAAGTGTTGTAATAAGTTTATATGACATTTTTTGACGTCGTAATAAGTTTTTTTAGAACACTTTTAATATAAAGCATGTCATTATCAACTTTATAGGACACTATTTGAAAAATTGTCCTATAAAAACAAATGTCCCATAAAAAATTGAATTTATAGGACACTTTCTCAAAAGTGTCCTATAAAATTGTTAATACGACACTTTATATTAAAAATGTCCTAAAAACTTGTTAAGACGCTCAAAAGCGTCATATAAACTTATTACAACACCTTTAGATAGGACGTTTTATATTTTTGGTTCTATAAAAACGGTCTATTGGGACGTTTAGAGATTAAGAGTGTCCTATAAACTTAATTTTGTTCTAGTAACATTTTGATCAACTCAGAAGAGAAATGGTTAAGAAGCCAATTTAAACGGGGGAAATAATTATTGAACTCGAGGAATCAAAAGTAAATGTCAATTAATTTTCAATTGAAAAAATGGGCATTAATGTTAGCAAGTCATTGTTGTGCACAATTTGACCACAAAATCATGATAACTCAATTACAACAATAAATACGAAAGCAATCATTCATCAATAAATCTCAACTTCCAGATTTAAAAAAAAAAAAACGAAAATCGGTACAAGATTTTGTAGCCGAAAAACAAAGTATTCATGAAAAACAACAAGAATACAAATAAAATCTTACAAATTGAGATCAAATCACACGAAACACATCACAACTTTTTGTGAAGACGCACAGCACCGATGACGATGAGCAGAAAGTAAGCGATGCATCCAGCAAAGGACAGAAACAGAGCTATGGCGATCTGGTGGCAAAATTTATCCAACACGTTACACACCTTGTCCCACTGCACGTGTGAGTTGCCTCGGAAGGCGATCAGACCGACGGAGCTGATGGCACCAACGGCGGAGAACAGCAACGCCACCACCACTAGGTCTAGAATGGTGATTATCAGTGAAGCATATTTATGTCCGCCTCTGGTTGCCAGAATTAGGATTATTGATATTGCTGCATAGAAGCATGAAATTGAATTCGCGATCACAAAATACCTGTAACGTAATTAGAATTGAAGATTAGAAGATCTGAGTTCTGATCTATCGATTACTGTTCATCTGTTGTTGTGATCTCCAGAGAACATTCCAGAATCGTAAGATACGACGGTGCTATTGTGCATAAAAACGAATCGTTCAAGTTTAAATCATTTCAGAAAACGAAGAATTGAGATCTGGAATCAAAATAAATCACGAAAACAGATTATTTATATCAAATCGTTCTTCGTTGATTCCTCTGGTTTCAAATTGATGTGAGGTTTGATTCCATGTGAATAGATATTTAGAGAGATCTAGAGGGAGAGAGAGTGTACTTACACAAATGCAGACATGTGAGTCCACTTAGCGGTGACGGGGACGTTGAGGGGCGGCAGCGACGGAACAAGGGTGACGGCGACGGTTGTGGTCTGCTTATCAAGTCCAACAAGCGCTGCAGCGATTAAAGTGAGTGCGAGTGCCAAAAACCTGACCACCAAATCCTTCAGATTGAAGGTTGATGAGCTTCTTCTATTATCCACCTCCTTATATTCCGTCGCCATTGTTTCTTATCTTTTTGTTGATTTCTGCAATTGGTGAGAGAAACGGAAGGAGGGTGTGTAGTCCCAACTGATCACCATGCCACTATATATACGCCTTTCATGGCTGCAAGTTACTACCAACTTGTCCCTACAAAACAAAACAAGTGTTCATATTCAAAGTAAGTACAGGAGCAAGTAAAAACAGTTGAAAGATTTGAGAATGTGAGAACTAATAAAGACCATCAATTCATTTTAATTAATGGATACCAGAAGGGTGTTCGTGCAATGCAGCGAGATACATTTTGATTTGAATATTTCGTTTTATTATTTATCTCGGTTGATATTATAATATGGTCTTATGTGATTTTGAAAGAGTGATACTGTTTTTTATTTTTGAATAAAATATAAATTTAAAGATATCATAAGAATTTGACAAAAATATATCGATATTAGTATCAAATTAACTATTTAAAATAACTCATTTTTTGTGTAATTTTTTAATTCGACTTTTTTATTATAATTTAATTTAGGTTCAATAACGAAATAATTTATATTTAGTTTAATAATATAATTTTTTATAAAGACAATAATTAATTATTTTGTTAGAACTCAATAATTATCTTAATTATATTTTAGATTTTTTAAATTTTAAAATGAGATGTTTATCCTCTATTTGATTATGTTTATCTGCAGTTAGTTACACGAATTTAAATATGGAGCTTTAATAAGTTGTACTTACGCACAATTTACTTGTAATCTTGAATTTTAAGTAATATGCATCGATAAACAGTACTTCATGCATAAAAAATAATTTTTACGAGTTTTTGTCAAATGCTTTATAATATAGTATAGATGTTTATGAATACAAAATGGAATCTCGCAGAATTGAAATACATCAAAGGAATTAGAATTTAAAGGGTTTGGGATGGAATTTAATCGGGTTTGATCATGTGTTTGGTTGACAGGAATTTTAATGGACTTTATTAAAAGAATTGGAATTTGTTTGTTTGTTTTGTTAGAGATAATTGCAAAATTATAATAAAATAATGATGGGTTATCGATATACGTGTCCCTTTATGTTATTTTCGTATTTTATTGATTAATTAATAAATACTATATAATAATAATATTTGGTGGTTGCCGTGGCAATGGTGGTAGAGACGATGGTGACAACGATAATGATGATGGTGACAACGGTTGTTACGGTGGGATGGAATAGATTAGAGTAAATATGAGGTTATAATACTTTTTTTACCCGTTTGGGTTGTCGTGTATTAGTTAAGGCTCAGTAGATGTAGAAATTTCATTTTACCTGGGTTCGAACTCCGTCATTATCAAAGCTCTTGTGTCCATGAATTTTCACTTTATAACCCCCATGACATTTATGGTCACCTCAGAATTAGTGATTGCCCATGAGTTGACTCGGTTACTTACGGTTACCCAAAAAAGTTTATTTGTGCAATTCAACATAATACATCTCGATTTCGTCTATGTCAACTTTTTAATGAGTTGGGTATGAGTTCATTTATAAAGGTTAAACATATTAATAAGTTGTAGCTATTAGGAGTTAGGGGCGGCCGTTTACCAAACACTTACTCGGGTAAGTGCTTATCAAATCACATTGCATTACCGATGAATATGGTAAGGACCAAGAATCTTATCCGGTAAGAACGAGATAAGGATAAAGAGTCTTACCCGGTAGGTGAGGGCGATGACTCTAACCATAGTAAGGGCTTGCTTACCGGGTAAATTGTTGCATACGATGTCGTTTTGATGGACTAAAATCTTACGTTGTAAGTAAATGATAGTGTTAATTTTGCCGGTAAGCCCTTAACGAATAAGTGTTTGGTAAACGACCCCTTTGTTTTATAATATTCAAACATATTAATAATTGTACATATGTTATGTATTTTTGCACATGGTTATGCTTGACGCCTGACGGTATACCAATTATACACATTTTAGCTTTAACCAAATCGGTTAAGTTCCAGTGAACTCTCTCCTGTTCTTCTTTATTTTAGAAAAGTGTTTAGCATAGTTGTTATACCAGACTTTTTTCAAAATTTCCAAAATTTCTAAAATCGCATAGTTGTTGGAGATGCTCTTACTTTTGTCCTGTTCTTGATTTGGACATTTGCAATCCCTAACTCTTTAATTTGTAACTTTATATGTTATTTTATAATTTTAAGACATTATTGTTGTTTTAATTTCACTACAACAAAATCGGTTTTATAGGACACTTTCAAATCCTAAGTGTCCTAATAGACCTCTTTATAGGACTTAGTTTATAGGACCAAAAAAATAAAGTGTCATATCTAAAGGTGTTGTAATAAATTTATATGACGTTTTTTGATGTCGTAATAAGTTTTTTAGGACACTTTTAATATAAAGCATCTCATTATCAACTTTATAGGACATTTTTTAGAAAGTGTCCTATAAACTCAATTTTTTATAGGACATTTGTTTTTATAGGACAATTTTTCAAATAGTGTCATATAAAGTTGATAATAGGACGTTTTATATTAAAAGTGTCCTAAAAAACTTATTACGACATCAATAAAAGGTCATATAAACTTATTACAATACCTTTAGATAGGACACTTTATTTTTTTGGTTCTATAAACTAAGTCCTATAAAGAGGTCTATTAGGACATTTAGAATTTGGGAGTGTCCTAAAAACCGATTTTGTTGTAGTGTTTGTAAATCTTTTAATATAGTATATAGATTTTGGATGTGTATATATAGAGGAAGTTTCAGATACATGAAATTGTTATAAACTTTACAAGCAAATCTCAATCGTACGTAAATAATCAACGGCATGGATCAAATTGGTTCATAAAAAAAAAGTGAAGCAACCGTTCTTTATGCGTTGATACGTAGCCGATTCAAATACAAACTTCTTTTGACATACCTAACATCTATCTTGGTTTCAAATCAAGATCAAATAATAAAACGCGTATCCATCTCATCTACGTTGTTAGTTACCTAGACATTCATGACATAAAAAGGTAACGTATTCATCTCCGCTGTGTTTTTAATAGCCCTAATATTCACGTCACAAAACAATGAAAAGGTAACGTATTCATCTCGTCATATTTATTTTTCAGATATTTTACCTAAAATAGTGGGATCGCCCCCACCTACCCCAGAATCGCCCAAAGGGGCGATTTGAGTCACATATTTGGCTACTATTTTGTCCACTAGTAAGGACATCCTATGACGCACCGATTTGACAATTAATGGGTGTTTTTCAATAAACGGGGGACGATTTTAACTGATATTTTATCTGTTTTAAGACCAAATGTAGTGTGTGTGTGTGTGTGTATGTTGTGGTTTTTATCTATAAAATCAAACACTTATACTCTCATAATGCTTAACCGTTAAACACAATCTATCATCACAAACTTTAACACAATATAAAATCACGTTAATTTTACAATTTTTACTACTTGTTTTTAAATGCATAAATGAAATCACAATGTTTTTATATTTTCTTATCAAAAATATAGTTTTTATGAAAAACCAACGAATGTTAATATCTTTTAGTAACTGTTTATAAGAAAATAATTATTTTCATGATTTCTCCATTTGAGGTACGAATGGTCTCACATGTATATCATTTGGGGGTCAAAAATCTGATAAAAACCAACGAATGTTTTTATATTTTTTTATCAAGAATATTTTTATTATGAAAAACCAAAATGTTAATATTTTTTAATAATCTACGAAAAAAAATTATAGAATCGTCCCACCTACCCCAGGATCGCCCCCGGGGGCGATCCTGACCCTGATTTCGTCTTCTAATGCCCTATGATATGACGATGATTTGACAATCTATTTTGTCTTATTACATAATGGTTTATATAAATAGGCAGTCGGATGGGACCATTATCACAATCCCCACCGACCACACCATATAGAAACACACCTTCAGTGTCATACCATCGACCACCGATCACCGTCCATCGATCAACAACCACCGTTCAGCAGACACACTACAACAAAATTGGGTTTATAGGACGCCCCGAATCTCAAAGTGTCCCAATAGACCGCTGTATAGGACTTAATTTATAGGACCAAAATATAGAGTGTCATATTTAAAAGTGTTGTAATAAGTTTATATGACGCTTTTGGGCGTCTTAACAAGTATTTGAGAACATTTTAAATACAAAGTGTCACATTAGCAACTTTATAAGACACTTTTGAGAAATTGTCCTATAAAATTAATCTTTTATAGGACACTTATTTTTATAGGACATTTTTTCAAATAGTGTTCTATAAAGTTGATAATTGGACGCTTTATATTAAAAAATGTCCTAAAAAACTTATTACGACATCAAAAAACGTCATATAAACTTAATACAACACCTTTATATAGGACATTTTATTTTTTTGGTCATATAAACTAAGTCCTATAAAGAGGTCTATTAGGACACTTAGAATTTGGAAGTGTCCTATAAACCCGATTTTGTTGTAGTGACATGAGTTCTGTTTGATCACGGGTTTTCCAATTTGGGTTGGAGCTTCACCCGCCATATTGTACCATCCCTTTAATTATTACAAGATTGTTTGGTAAGATGACCAAACATAATAATATTAAAGTCGATCATTTTAGAAATAAATTTATCGACTTAAATAATAAAGATATATATCAGATGATGATGATGTGGTGTGTGTCTACCTCATAATCATGTTTCATACGGTATTTTTGGGATGGAAAAAGAACCACAATACCCGAAACTGGATTTTGCATCTTGTTGAAAATTTGGATGTCTGGAACCAATACTCATGGGGCTCATACGTATGACGTCTGATATATCAACAGTTGAAATATGCGTTCGAACGTCGCATATACATAAATAGGTCGCCGAACAAATACATATTATATGGTTTTGTATATGCCTTCAAAGTCGGTTATCGCTGTTTATAAGATCTTATTTACTGATTAATTTACATTTTCTCACCATAAATATAAAAATCTAATTATTTAAGTTTAAAATAATTAAAATCTATTTCAAAACTACCATTTTCCTAACTTTTTAAATCAATTAAAAATCAGAAATTTCTCAACCGTTGG